GAGGCTATTGTAAATGAATTGTTTTCATACATTCTTTTTCCGTTTGCTCATTGTTAGTGTATAGAAATGCTAATGATTTTTCTATGTTGATTTTATATCCTGCTACCTTGCTATAGCTATTGATGATGTCTAGAAGCTTCTGAGTAGAGTTTTTTGGGTCTTTAAGGTATAGGATCATGTCGTCTGCAAATAGGGATATTTTGACAGTTTCTTTACCTATTTGTATTCCTTTTATTCCTTCTTCTTGGCCTAATTGCTCTGGCTAGGAATTCCAGTACTATGTCGAATAGGAGTGGAGATAGTGGGCATCCTTGTCTGGTTCCTGATTTTAGAGGGAATGGTTTAATTTTTCTCCGTTAAGTATAATGCTGGCTGTAGGTTTGTCATATATAGCTTTTATAATGTTGAGGAACTTTCCTTCTATTCCTAGTTTTCTTAGAGCTTTTATCATGAAATGATGTTGGATCTTATCAAAGGCTTTTTCTGCATCTATTGAGATGATCAAGTGGTTTTTGTCTTTGCTTCTGTTAATGTGGTTTATTACGTTTATTGATTTTCGTATGTTGAACCACCCCTGCATCCCTGGGATGAAGCCTACCTGGTCGTGGTGAATAATCTTTTTGATGTGTTGCTGAATTCGATTTGCCATTATTTTGTTGAGGATTTTTGCATCAATGTTCATTAAGGAGATTGGCCTATAGTTCTCCTTTTTGGAGGTGTCTTTGCCTGGTTTTGGGATAAGTGTAATACTGGCTTCATAAAATGTGTTTGGCAGTTTTCCTTCCCTTTCTATTTCATGGAACAGTTTAAGGAGGGTTGGTATCAGTTCTTCTTTAAAGGTCTGATAGAATTCAGCAGAGAATCCATCAGGTCCTGGACTTTTCTTTTTGGGGAGACTCTTGATTGCTGCTTCAATTTCATTTTGTGTTATAGGTCTATTCAGGTGATTAATTTCCTCTTGGTTCAGTTTTGGATGATCATATGTATCTAGAAATCTGTCCATTTCTTTTAGATTTTCAAATTTATTTGAATATAGGTTCTCAAAGTAGTCTCTGATGATTTCCTGGACTTCCATGGTGTTTGTTGTTATCTCCCCTTTTGCATTCCTGATTCTACTAATTTGGGTTTTTTCTCTCCTCATTTTAGTCAGGTTTGCCAGGGTCTATCGATCTTGTTTATTTTTTCAAAGAACCAACTTTTTGTTTCATTAATTCTTTGTATGGTTTTTTTGGTTTCTATTTCGTTGATTTCAGCTCTTATTTTTATTATTTCTCTCCTTCTATTTGTTTTGGGATTTGCTTGTTCTTGTTTTTCTAGGAGTTTGAGATGTATCATTAGGTCATTGATTTGGGATCTTTCAATCTTTTTAATATATGCACTCATGGCTATAAACTTTCCTCTCAAGACTGCCTTAGCTGTGTCCCATAGGTTCCGGTAGGTTGTGTTTTCATTTTCATTGACTTCTAGGAACTTTTTAATTTCCTCTTTTATTGCATCGATGATCCATTCTTCATTAAGTAATGAGTTATTTAGTTTCCAGCTGTTTGCATGTTTTTTGTCTTTACTTTTGTTGTTGAGTTCTACTTTTACTGCATTGTGGTCAGATAGTATGCATGGTATTATTTCTATTTTCTTATATTTGCTGAGGCTTGCTTTGTGCCCTAGGATATGATCTATTTTGGAGAAGGTTCCATGGGCTGCTGAGAAGAATGTATATTGTGTAGAGGTTGGATGAAATGTTCTGTAGACATCTACTAGGTCCACTTGATCTATTGCATATTTTAGATCTTGGATTTCTTTATTGAGTTTTTGTTTGGATGACCTATCTATTGATGATAATGGAGTGTTAAAGTCTCCCACAACCACTGTGTTGTATATGCTTTTAGGTCTTTCAGGGTATGTTTGATGAAATTGGGTGCGTTGACATTGGGTGCATACAGATTGATGATTATTATTTCCTTCTGGTCTATTTCCCCTTTTATTAGTATGGAGTGTCCTTCTTTATCTCGTTTGATCAATGTAGGTTTGAAGTCTACTTTGTCAGAGATAAGTATTGCTACTCCTGCTTGTTTTCGGGGGCCATTGGCTTGGTAAATCTTCTTCCAGCCTTTCATCCTAAGCATATGCTTATTTCTGTCGGTGAGATGAGTCTCCTGTAAGCAACAAATTGTTGGATCTTCTTTTTTAATCCATTTTGTCAAACGGTGTCTTTTGATGGGTGAATTGAGTCCATTAACATTAAGTGTTAGTACTGATAGGTATGTGGTGATTCCTGCCATTTAGTTATCTTAGTTGTTTGAAGGTTTGATTGTGTGTACCTAACTTGATGTTACTCTCTACTGTCTTGCTTTTTCTTATCCTGTGGTTTGGTGCTGCCTGCCTTTTCATGGTTAAGTTGGGTGTCACTTTCTGTGTGCAGGATCCCTTGCAGAATCTTTTGTAATGGTGGCTTTGTGGTCACATATTGTTTTAGTTTCTGCTTATCATGGAAGACTTTTATTGCTCCATCTATTTTGAATGATAGCTTTGCTGGGTAGAGTATCCTGGGGTTGAAGTTATTTTCATTCAGTGCCCGGAAGATCTCACCCCACGCTCTTCTTGCTTTTAATGTTTCTGTTGAGAAGTCTGCTGTGATTTTGATGGGTTTACCTTTGTATGTTACTTGTTTTTTCTCTCTTGCAGCCTTCAATATTCTTTCCTTAGTTTCTGAACTTGTTGTTTTAATGATGATATGTCGTGGAGTAGTTCTATTTTGATCTGGTCTGTTTGGTGTCCTGGAGGCCTCTTGCATTTGTATGGGAATATCTTTCTCTAGATTTGGGAAATTTTCCGTTATTATTTTGTTGAATATATTACGCATTCCCTTCGCTTGCACCTCTTCTCCTTCTTCGATGCCCATGATTCTCAAGTTTGGTCTTTTGATGGAGTCAGTGAGTTCTTGCATTTTCTTTTCACAGGTCTTGAGTTGTTTAATTAGTAGTTCTTCAGTTTTTCCTTTAATTACCATTTCATCTTCAAGTTCTGAGATTCTGTCTTCTGTTTGTTCTATTCTGCTGGATTGGCCTTCCGTTTTGTTTTGCAGTTCTGTTTCGTTCTTTTTTCTGAGGTTTTCCATATCCTGGCTGTTTTCTTCTTTATTGTTGTCTATTTTTGTCCTGAGTTCATTTATCCATTTATTCATTGTGTTCTCTCTTTCACTTTGGTGTTTATACAGTGCTTCTATGGTTTCCTTTATTTCTTCTTTTGCTTTTTCAAATTCTCTATTTTTATTGTCTTGGAATTTCTTGAGTGTCTCCTGTACATTTTGGTTGACCCTATCCAGTATCATCTCTATAAAATTCTCATTGAGTACTTGTAGTATGTCTTCTTTTAAATTATTCTTGTAGGCTTCATTGGGTCCTTTGGCATAGTTTATCTTCATTTTGTTGGAGTCTGGATCTGAGTTTCTGTTCTCTTCATTCCCTCTGGTTCCTGTACTAATTTTTTGCTGTGGGGAAACTGGTTTCCTTGTTTTTTCTGTCTTCCTGTCATTGTCTTGGTGTTGTTACTGTCCCTGTACTGTGTGTAATTAAGTATTTTCTAGCTTGTAATAATAACAATGGTAATATTGAGAATGGAAGAGTGAGCTGAGATGGAAAGCAAGAAGTTAAAGAAAAGGGGAAAACAAATATACAGACAAGAGGGAGAAAGCAGAACAAGGTATCAGACAAGAGAGTTTCAAAGGTATAAACAGGGAGTGTTAGTGTACTAATCGACAGTAAGCTGAACAGACAATAGAGTGACAGAGAGAGGATTGAAAATCAAAGATAAAAAAAAATAAAAAATAAGTATATGAAAGTAATATCTATTTATAAAAATGAATTAAAATAAAATGGAAAATAGAAAATTAAAAAAAAAAAAAAAACCAAAAAACTTCCAAGTTTATATGCAATGCAATTTCAGTCTTAATAATTTGGATGTCCGTCTCAATCTCCAGTCCTGGAGTTGGTGCCTCAGATGTTGTTCTGTAGTTGTCTCATCAAAGGGGATGCATAAAGTAGAACAAAACTACACTCACACACACACAGAAGAAAAAAAAAAAAAAGCCCCACCAAGTGTCCCCAGTTCAAATGCAATACAGTTTCAGTAAGTTTTTCGGCTTGCAGGTGTAATTCGGTTGTTCTCTCATCAAAGGTAGGGAGAAAAAAAAAAAAAAGCGTCTGGAGGCAGTTCTGAGAGTGGTATCTGCAACTGTGGCTTGCCTGCCTGCTGCTCTCAGCCTGTAGCTGGCGGCGTTATTTATGCAGATCTCTGGGGTGAGCTAGCACTCACCTGGTCCCACAGGCTTTGTTTGCTCAGAGTTCTCCTGTGCGGGGGAGGGGGGCCTCTGCTACAGGCTTTTCCCTTTCCAAGCACTGGGAAAGGCGACACTGCCCCGCGTTGTCAGGCCTGCGTGTTTATTTACAGTTCACGTGGGAAGTGGGTCTTCCCTCCTCTCACAAGCGTCCCCGCTCCTGGTTGCTGGCGCGCCCCGCTCCCGCCAGAGCCTCTCCGGCCCCCCGGCTCGTTTATTTACAGTCCCGGGAAGGCTTCCCTTCCCCCAATCTTCAGCGCTCAGGGCGCCCCACCCTCTTTCCAGCGTGTCTTAACTGTTCTTATTGCTTAGTACTCAGTTTCTCTTTTTTTCCCGGGTGGAGGTCAGTCTGTCCAGGGGGCTATGCTGCTCTGGCCCAGGCTTGTCTGTGGGGGAACCGCGGTACCGCGAAGCTCACCTGGTCCGCGTCTTCCCAAGCCGTATGGGCGCCGGCCACTGGCGGCCCGGGGGCCTCCTCGGTTCTCCGTTTAACGTGAAGTGGAGATTCTCTGCGCCGGCTGGAGGTGTGGAGGAGTCAAAGTTATGCCTTTTCTCCGTGATTATGCCTGCAAAGTGTGTCTCCAGCGTCTCTCCAAGATTTCACTATAGGAGGGTCGCTTTCTGCTTCCTACCTCTAGCCGCCATCTTGGAATCACTTCCCAGTTCCATTTTGTTATGGTCGACAGCAGAGTGTGACTGAAGAGAAAGCGAGCAGAATGAGAGGATTCTGTCTAAAAATAATTTTGATCATGTGTCTTTGGATTGGTTAACATTCAGCACAGCCTCCTCCGTCTTTGGCCAGTGCCTGTACTCTGGTAGGGTCTGGTGTTTGGAATGAGCTACTTGAAGTAGCACACACCACTGCATTTTTCCAGTTTGGTTGCCTTCACTCTGATCAGTGAGTTCTGTTTTGGAAGGTTGGTCAGCAGTGGTGCTACTCTTTCACTCACTTCCTGCTTTGTGGGCAATTTAAACTTCCCAAGGTCCAGGAATGCATGTAGAAGAGGGTCTTGCAACCCTGGTAATCACTGCCATAGGAGGCACTTTGGACCAGTGGGAAGACTCCCTATGCTCATCAAATTATAGATTGCATCGCATCGTGGAGTAGTTCTGAGAGGGAGGATTTGGTGGTTCTGATTTGGTCTAGCCACTCCTGCAACATTTATTTCATTTGCAGATATTTTGTGCTTTCTGGCAGTAGCAAGTAGCTACATTTAACTTGGGTGCAATTTTCCTGTGCTCCAGTTGGAAGCAGAGGCACCGAGGCTGGCAGAATATCAAGCATACATTGACTTTGAGATGAAGCTTGGTGATCCGGCTCGCATTCAGCTGATCTTTGAGCGTGCCCTAGTGGAGAACTGCCTTGTCCCAGACTTGTGGATCCGTTACAGTCAGTACCTAGTAAGATAACTTCTCTGATTTTGTTTTTGCCAATTTAGAGCCTTTTATGTTAAGAATGTTCCCCATTTCCCCTCTGCTTTTTCTCCCTTTTTTTCCATCCCGCTTTTCTCCTCTTTGCCAGCTTGCTTAGGAATTTTGTCTCATTTGAAGTTACATTAAACTGATCACTAACTACAGAAATTTTGCTTATAACCTTACTATTGAGGACTTAATTCTTTAATCTTTTTTTTTTTTTTGGTGGTACTGGTATTTGAACTCAGGGCCTCACGCTTGCTAGGTAGGTACTCTACCCACTTGAGCCACTCTGCCAGCCCTGTTTTATGTTGTGCATTTTTGAGATAGGGGCTGGAGAAATATTTGGCTGGGACTGCCTTCAAACTGGGATCCTCCTGAGTAGCTAGGATTCCAGGCATGAGCCATTGGTGCCTGACTTCTTTAATCTTTTTATTATGGACAAGATGTAAACATATGAAAGTAGACAAATTAGTAAATGAAGCCTCAACAGAGATTAACAATTACAGCTCTAGTTTGGTTTCATGGTTTCACCTATATGCTTATCTGCTTTCCCCACCTGAGTTATTTTGAAGCAAATCCGGAAGTCATGTTTCATTGGTAAATGTTTCAGTATGAATGTGTAAAAGATCCTCTGTGTGTAAAAGGATCCAGTTGAGGTTCATACACACTAGGATTGGTTATTGTTTTTTAAGGCCCTTTTAACCTATAGGCTCCTCCTACCCTACCCTTCTTCTCTTCCACTCCCCTGGGAATTACTTTGTTGAAGAAACCAGACCACAAGAGGCATTTTACTTATTTTTTAAATTCTTTTGAGATGGGGGTCTCGCTATGCAGCCCAGACTAGCCTCAAACTTGCAGTTTTTCTTTCTTGGCCTCCTGAGTGCTCAGATTACAGGTGTGTGCCACCGTACTTGACCTTCATAAGAGGCATTTTTTTGGAGTGGGGTGTGGTACTGAGGTTTGAACTCAGGGCTTCATGCTTCCTAGGTAGGCACTTTACTACTTGAGCCACTCCGCCAGCCTTGTAAGAGAGTTTTAAAGGAAGTTGCTCCTGTCGATTGGTTGTGCTGGCAATGGCTCATTGATGTTGAAATTTCATCTTCTCATCCTGGAATTCTGTGTCATAGGACCGGCAGCTGAGAGTGAAGGATTTGGTTTTATCTGTGCACAGCCGTGCTGTTAGAAACTGCCCCTGGACGGTGGCCCTGTGGAGTCGGTACCTCTTTGCCATGGAGAGACATGGAGTTGATCATCAAGAGATTTCTGGTGGGAATGTTTTTGTGGGAAGACATCTGAGGTTTTTTTTTTTAAGATAGAGTCTTACTGTATAAGTCAGGCTGGTCTTGAGCCTTGTGTCAGCTTCCCTAGTGCTGAGATTCTAGGTGTGAGCCCCTGGGCCTGGTGACTTATAAGTGTTTTCTTCCAAGTGAGAAGCAGACATGTAATGACACCATTAATTAGCCTAACTCAAGGTTTTATTTGGAATATTGAGTTCTAATGACAAAAAGGGCTTTCAGAGACAGATAAACTGCTCATAGCTGGCTTCCTAGAGCTTCTTAACATTTTTATTCTTACTGTGATTTTCTTCTCTCTCTCTCCTTTTTTTTCCTCCCTCTGGGATTGGGGGTTTGAACACAGGGCTTTGCACTTGCAAAGCAGGTGCTCTACTGCTTGAGCCACACCTCCAGTCCATTTTGCTCGTTTATTTTAGAGATAGGGGAGGTCTTATGGACTATTTGCTTAGACTGGTCTCGAACCTCAGTCCTTCCAATTTCAACCTCCCAAGTAGCCAGGATTACAGGCTTGAGGCACTGGTACCTGGCTTCACTATGATTTTCTAAGTTGTGGTCTGTTCTCTAAACTTATTTGAACTGGACTCTTATTGCAGGGCATTTTGTGAAAGTAGCCCTTTCTAGACACAGTGCTGTAAGAACTTCCCTTTTAAACATTTTTCTCTTGCTCATTTTATCTTTCTGCATCCTGTTTTTATTTGATTTTTATTTTTGTGGTGCTAGGGATCCACCCCCAGGCCTTGTGCATCTGTTATTAGTATTAAAGCAATATAGTATTTTATCATTAGTGGAGTTTGATAATTTTTATGAGCTTTTTTGAATTGGCAGTGAATCTTGACTTCTCGTCCACCTCCAGTGACCTTTGAGAAAGCTCTGAGCGCTGGCTTCATCCAGGCCGCTGATTATGTGGAAATTTGGCAGGCATACCTTGACTACCTGAGGAGAAGGGTTGACTTCAGGCAAGGTATTTAAGTGCATGTGTTTCATTTGCAACTGGAATTTTCCCTAACACGTCTCTGGTGAGAGGGCTCAGTTTCCCCAAATACACTGTGATTGGGTAAATGATGCACACCAATCATTGGTGACTTTCTGCCAGAAATTTTAGCAATATATGACTTTAACAAGTCTCGCTGTGGACTTAAAGAAGAGAATGATGGTCCTTATGTTTTATGCTGGGTCCTGGCAACCTCTGTTGCCTTATCTTTCACTTTCCACTTCTGACCCTTTTAAAAATCCCAAATCCTTTTAAAAAATAAGACTGCTGTGTTTCTTTTAGATCGCTGAATCCTCTATCCTCCCACCCCCCAAAAGGCAACTAGAAAAACCCTGACTTGTACGCTGTGTCAACTCTACTTCATGCAAGTGTCTTTCAGCCATGTATTGCCTGCATGTGTCACCCCACTTAGAGGACATCCCCCCACCATGTGGTTTGCCCACAGAGCCCTGTGCTCATCTCTGTCATTGTGCTGTCCATCTATGTTGTATTCTGCTCCTGTGTCTTTCTCTTTTACTTTGTGATGATATAGGGACTGGCAGTTATTTTTGGTACTGGGGTTTGAACTCAGGGTCTTCACCTTGAGCCATTCCACCAGTCCTGTTTTTGTGAAGGGTTTTTCAAGATAGGGTCTCCCCAAACTGTTTGCCTGGGCTGGCTTTGAACTTTGATCCTCCTGATCTGTGCCTCTTGAATAGCCAGGATTATAGGCGTGAGCCACTGGAGCCTGGCAGCAGTTTTAGTTCTGTGTCTTCTTCATGACAAAATTCATTAGTGGGTCTTCAGGCCGTGTAGGTGCAGGATTCAGAAAGAAGACAAGGCTGTGTGACTTTGTAAAGTCTTTCTTGCACTTTCCGACAGATTCCAGTAAGGAGCTAGAAGAGCTGCGGTCCACATTCGCTCGCGCTTTGGAGTATTTGCAGCAGGAGGTTGAAGAGCGTAAGTCTGGTCCTGACCTGCTGCTCTAGTTATGTTACCTGTTCTTGGCTGGTGTACCTTTTCAGCCAAGGGGTACTTGGGAATTTCTTCCTAATTTTCACAATTCTGTTCTTGAAGGTTTCAATGAGAATGGAGATCCAAGTTGCATGATCATGCAGAACTGGGCCCGGATTGAGGTATGTGTTTTTTGACAAATCTCTCAACTTCATCTGCTTTTGAAGGAGTTTTGTTTAAGTAGTGTTCTATTAGACATGAATAAAAACTGGATCAAAATCCCACTGGTGGTCTAGGCCCTGCAAGGATTTGTGTTATTTACTCATTGAGGTGCACATTAGTTTTTCTCTTGGTGAAAACAGCCTCCATCCAGAAGTTGCGCAGTACATGTCCAAATTCTGGATATATTTTTTCGTGGAGGTACCAGGGTTTGAACGGAGGTCCTTACACTGGCTAGGCAGGTGCTTTACCACTTAAGCCACTCTGCCAGCCTCATACATTCTTTTATTTACTTCTTCAGTCCCTCCCATTGCTTTAGGCATGAGAATGTGCCAAGTGTGTCCCATTTGCCTAACTCTGCCAGGTACCAGGGAAGCAGATGGATACAGTCTTTGCTTACTAAAGCTTTAATTCAGTGCAGAAGACAGATTGGATAAATAGAAGATAGAGGAAATTCAGTATCATTACTGAGCCAAGGACACTAAGCTAAGTGAGACATTGACTCTGTCCTTGATCAACTGGTAGGATTATAAAATTCAAATCATGTTTTATACTCTGAGGGAGAATTAGGCTGAAGAAGGTAACATTTGCTAGGTTGTTTCTCTGTAGGATATTTGTGTTGGAACGTTTTAAGGATGAGGAAACTGAGGCTCACAGAGGTTATATGATGTTAGTTGCCCAAGTTGCATGGTTTGTAAATGGCAGAGGTGACATTTAATACTAGAATAGCCTGTCTTTCTCTGCATTGCTCTCAAATTAAACATCTGTAGTTAAGCTTGATAAAAATAAACAAATAAACAACTACCCAGTTTGAGTGAGTGCTGGGCTCTTGCTCTGTGTTCACAAGAGGTATTGGTAAACCTTCTTTTCTCCCCCACTGCTGGGTTGGGAAGAAGGTCTTGCCCACACTAGGCTAGCTCTACACCGCTGAGCTACCCCACAGCCTGAAGGCAGACCTTATGAGAGTTGTCACTGCAGAAAGGTAGAAGGGCTCGGTCTGGGCACTGTGCCACTAGAGGGAAACCTGGGTCCTGTCTAGGGATTAATGCAACACTGATAGTCATGAGGTCTTCTTATGTATTGTCTGTTTGCAATGGGTGTCCATGTCAGAAGGTTGGGGTCCTTTCCTAACTGAGCTTGCTGATGCTTTTTAGGCTCGACTGTGCAATAATATGCAGAAAGCTCGGGAACTCTGGGACAGCATCATGACCAAAGGAAACGCCAAATATGCCAACATGTGGCTTGAGTATTACAACCTGGAAAGGTAACTGACCTGGGGTGGGTGGGTCTGTGCTTGTCAGGGCAGTGCCTGCCCTCGTCCTGGGCCTGCTACTTAGAAGGGGCTCCTTCCTTCCTCCTGTCTCTCACAGTAGGTGCCTAGAATTGGGTAAGGCTAGAGAACCAAACAGTACTTTGTGCTTGGGGCTCTTATAGCCATGGATTTTTTAAAAGTTGTTTTTATTTTTGACCATGAGTCTTTTGACTTTTGGAGGTATATTTTTTTAAATTATACTTGCTTTTATAGGAAAATAGAAAATACTAAAAAGCAAAGAAAAGAAAATCTAAATTACTTGGAACCATTGTCTAACACTTAACTAAATGGTTTGGGTATATTTTTTCAGACTTTTTGATGTTTAAATTTTTTTAAAAATGAAATTGTTACTACAGCATATATGTTACAGACTTTTCAAACTGTTTGAATTAATAAATGATGCCTGGTAATAGTTATAACAAGAAGATAAAAAGAATGTGACCAGCTTTTTTATTCATGTATTTTGAACATTATAAGTCAAATATATTTTTACACTACCTTTTTCATTTTCTGAATATGTTTTTTCTATTTGAACAATCATGTGTGCCCAAATAAAATAGAGCATGTACAAAAATATGTGACAGGCTCTTCCATTCCCATGCCCAGATGTGACCACCCTGAAGCCTTGTTGAATATTCCTCTGGATCACAGGTTTTGGTTTCAGGACCCCTTTTACTCTTAAAATGTAAAGACCCAAAAGAGCTTTCTGTTTATATCAATATTTGCCTTTCAGGAAATAATAGGAAGACATTAAAAAAACCTTTTTTTGAGGTCTGACTACTTTCCAGCCCAAAATAATTGTGTGAGAAAAGTGGCGTGTTCCGACATTTTTCCAAGTATCTTCAGTTTAGTTCAGTTATCTTCTCATGGCTGCTTCTGCTTCACTCTGTTGTGACGTATTGTTTTCATGGAAGAGCATGAAGAACAATTGGTCTCTGTGCTGCTTTTAAGTAAAAACAGTGTACCATGAAAACAGTAGCTATTTCTGCTCATAATTCACTTTTCTGTGCAGCAGGCATTGTCTTTCAGCATGCAGAAGAAGTGCTGTATGTGTCCTTCTCATTTTGTCACACAATATCAAAAAGGGATGTACTGCTCTGCTTTGTGCTAAGGGTCACAGTTGCTTTTGCACCATCCATGCAAATGCAAACGTAGTGAAGAAGTTAGTACTGTTGTAAAAGGAGTTCTGATTGTACAGACCTCCTGAGAGCATCCTATAGGACAGAGGTCTCAGGTCTCTGGAGCAGACTTTGAGAACCACTGCTGTGAGTTTTTCCTGAGTATCCTAATACATATTTATATTTGTATATGTAATTGATGAGATTAACAGTATATTTTCCATGTTGGGACAAAAAGACTTGACTCTAGACTTGGAATTAGTGGTTTTCCCCTCTGGCAGGACTGCATAGAATTTCTCCAGGACCTTTATCAGTTACATAGAGTTGATGGGCAGCCCCCTCTTGTGGGCTGCACGTGTGAGTTCTGTCAAGGCAGAAAACCTGGCTGCAGGCCGCTGTTGGTGTAATTCCCAGGCACACCTGCCTGGCTAGGGGAGAGCATGGTATAGAGGGCTCCTTCTTTTGTGACTGGAGAAAGGAGGAGCTATCATGGGTGGTTCTGAAAGCTGGGGTTCCTCACAAACTTCACTGGAGAGCTTCCACCTGTGGGAAGACAGCCCTTCCCTTCCTGTTCCTTTTGCTCTGTGCTCTGGTGGCAGCAGCTGTTTGTTTTTTGCTCTAGGGCCCATGGTGACACACAGCACTGCCGGAAAGCTCTGCACCGGGCTGTCCAGTGCACCAGTGACTACCCTGAGCATGTCTGCGAAGTGTTGCTTACTATGGAGAGGACAGAAGGTAGGACCCTTGGCCCTCTGCTTCTGGCTTGGAGTCTGGCCTATTGGCTGATTGGTCACCACTGGGAGCATCTGGTCAGAGTCTGTAAGGACAGACGGCCGTGGCCACTGCCTCACAGTGGCTCTGTATGGTTGACACTCTAACAAGTGTCATGAGGCACTTGTTAGTGGGAGTAAGCTCTCCTGCAGTTCTTCTCCCACTCTCTAGCTGCTAGAGGGCTCTGTGATGGAGCCCTGGTGCAGGGCTTTCATAATTCTTATCATGTAGGACATTTAGCTGCAGTCCTGGCCTTTACCCGTTAGATGCTGGAGCAGCTCTCCCCACCCAACCAAACATGTCCTTTGCCAGGGAGGGTCCCCCAGTGAAAGACCACAGCTCTAGTGCAGTGTCAGCACAGCAAAGGAGCTCAGAGAAGCAGACTGCTTGGTGGGCTCTTTGGTTACTTGATGAATTTTTAAGCCTTCAGTATCAAGCTGTAGAACTAGAGCCAATAGGAAAATAGGATCAATTTATCCAAGGGCACTGACCTGGATTTGGGGTATGAGATCCTCAGACCTGGAGATTACATGCCCAAACAACAACAGAAAAAAGTAGCTCTTAAAATTCTTCAGTGTTAATGTGAATGCCCCATACAGTTTCATTAGAATGTCTTCATAGTCTCACCATTGACAGCCCATCAGAGGTCAGATTCTTGTTTTCAGGTCTCTTTTCTGAAGGAGAATGGACACTAAGCATGCCTGGAAGGACTATTTGGATTCCATACAAGCCTGAGCGGATTAAATGTCCTTAAAATGAGGAGCCAACTCATTGCAGTTCTCATTGTCATAAGGGAGAGATCTTTTGTGGAGGTGTGGGAAATTGAGGAAATGTTCTATCATTATAGTCCTTCAAAACTCTAAGGAGTGACAGGTTTACTTCTTTTCCTGTTTAGGTACATTAGAAGATTGGGATATGGCCATCCAGAAAACTGAGACTCGGTTAGCGCGTGTGAATGAGCAGAGAATGAAGGTAATGATGACGGTTGCTTGGTGTCTACCTCTGTTTTTGGGGGGTGGAGTTATACTGGGGTTTGAACTCAGGTCTTTGTGCTTCTTAGGCAGGCGCTGTACCACTTGAGCCACACCCCAAGCCCTGTTTGGAGCCTTTTACATCTCCTTTGTTTCTGTTCAGTATGAAAGTTTCTTGTCAAAACCTTTTAGGCCTTCATAAGAAGTATATGTTATTCATGGAGTATCAATTATAAAAGGTTGGAATCAGTATTTAAACTTGTATCATCTTTTTAAGATTATTTTAAAATTTTGGGTTTAATAATAAGTACTTTTTTGTACATTGGGTGAATCTATCCTCTGCTCTTGCCAGGCATACACTCTACCACTAGAGCCTCTCTACCAGCGCTTTTTGCTTTGGTTATTTTTGAGATAGGGTCTTGCTTTATGCCCCAGGCCAGCCTGAATTGTGATCCTCCTGTTTGTGCTTCCTCACGTAGCCAGGATGACAGCCATGTGCTATTCCTGGTGGGCTAGAGGAATGATGGCACTTACTTGAGTGGAGTAGATAAAAAAGAATAGAAAAGTGCATTTGGCCTATCAGTGGAATACGAACATCCCAGCCCTCTTAGGGTCCCAGTTTTATAGATAGACTTTTCTTTCTCTTGGTGTATAATGATTAAGGTACTGTAAACCAACCATAGACTTGAGATCCAGAATCCTAAGCTGCCTGAGTGGGTTCCCTAAGGAACCCTTTCTAGGGTCTCCTCTTCTTCAAGTAGAACATTTCCACTCCGCATCCCTCTATCTCATATCTCACCGTACGCCAGACGGTTCCTGTATCAGTGCACCCACGCATGTACCCTGCTCCCACTTTTCTAGGCTGCGGAGAAGGAGGCAGCCCTTGCACAGCAAGAGGAAGAAAAGACTGAACAGCGAAAGAGGGTGCGAGCTGAGAAGAGAGCACTGAAAAAGAAGAAAAAAGCCCCAGGCACAGACAAGCGCAAAGCAGATGAGGATGAGAAAGAGTGGGGTGATGAGGAAGAAGGTAAAGTTTGACTTTTTACTTCCAAGTTTTACTTGGAAATGTCTCAAACTTACAGAAAAGTTGCAAAAATAGTACAGAGTGTTTCTTTTTCCTCAACTATTTGCGAATAATCTGCCAGCATCATGCTCATCACCCTTCCATCACTGCAGGGTGTGCACCTTGCAGACACAGGCATTATCATACAGTACAGTTCAACCTTCAAACACTATTTTGCGCGTTCCTGCCATCCAATCCTCATACCCTGCCCACTGTCTGCCATTTCTTCTAGTAGTGTCCTTCATAGTAGAAGGAGCCATTTCAGGACTGCATGTTGTCCTGTACCGAGTCTCTTTTAGGCTGGAGCATTTCTCAGTCTTCTTTGACTCATGACCTGGACACTTTTGAAGGGGACTGGTGAGTTACTTGTAGAGTGTACTGCAGTGCAGGTTTGGCTGGAGTTTCCTTGTGTTGAGTGTCTCTGGTAGGAGAAGTGCCCAAGTGTACCCTTTCCTCATTGTGTCCTCTCCGTGGCCTGGAATTTTGGTATGTTCCATTACTGGGACATATCAAGGTGGCTGCCTGGCTTCTCCATTAAGTTACTCCTTTCCCATTGGTAATTATTAGGTATTTGATGAGTGCTAACCTAGTACTCTGAGACTAGACAAATATCCTACTTCTCACCATACTTCCAATTATTCATCCTTTTATCTTTGTCATGACCGTGGGTCCCTATTTCTTCATAGTTAGCATCTGTTAGTGTCGGTATTTATGTTGATGCTCTACTTATCCCACTTTGGCTAGCACCCCTTGACCTGTCATTTGGTCACTTCCCTACTTTCAGGCATGCAGTACCCCAGGGTGATCTTGTGCTTTCCGTGACTCAGTCCTGGAGTCCACTGTTCCTCTCAGGGTCCTCTGAGTGGCATGCAGTACTTGGGGTATTGTGCTCCCCTGCCCTTGGAGCGTTAGAGCCTGGGAGTGTGTGTTTACGTCTATGTTTACTCCTGGAACTGTCTGAGTCTACACTGGTCCCTCCATTTCCAGCTAACACACAGGGTTCATTCTGCTTTTCTCTTTTTCCTCTGACTTTGTGAGCCCTGGCTGCTGTTATCCTCAGCATGTTCATTTATTCTGTTAGTCCCTCAATGTGTGTCACCAGCTCCTGTCCCTGTCCCCCAGCACCCTCTTTACCCCACTGGGCTTCCCACATCGGGTGGCAGGCACTGCCCTGCTCATATACCATCATCTGTCTGTTAGGGCTCCGTGCCCTCCACCAGGCTACCACCACATCCTTCCTGCTGGGAGCCCTTTTGTTCCTGCTCACTCAGGATCTCATACCCCATGCCGGCCCCTATCATCATCCCGTGTGTGCATGTCCTCTTCTCACTCATGCTCCAGGAGCTGCACCATCCACTGCAGCCTACCCTGCATGGTGTCTGCCTTGCTTGGCCTGTGTAATGGTTTTGACTTGGTAGAATTTTCCAGCTAGTGTTCCTGTCACTTACGTAATTTCAAGGATGGGCAGGTATGGGTCAGATTTGTTCTCAGTAAATTCATGCAAGGTAAAGAATTGTCTTGAGATATTAAAGAACTCTGAATATCTTCCTAGGATATCTGTGTCAGGCATAGGGACTCTAACATGCTGATTTTGCCATTGACATTTCTTGCACACTTTTTTTGGGCCTTCAAAATGATGGAGGGCGGTCTGCTGCCTGTCAGAACCCGCAGGGTAGCAGGGAAAGGCACATGGGATGTGTAACTGCAGTAGTGTGTATCAGGACCATAGAAGCTGTCCTTGTGAGTTGCAATGGCTGCAGAGGACAGCACTGGGGTCAGCTGTCTGCCAGAAGAGGTTCATGGGGAAGGATGCAGCACCAGGGTAGGAGTGAGGACTGTCGTACGGGAAAGAAGGGAGGGGTGCACTGGACAGACAGCCAGTGTTAGCAGAGCATGAAGACACTATGGCCTGGCATTTTCTTTGAGCAGCAAAGAATTGGGTGTGAGATCAGGTACCTGGCAGAGGGTGGGGCAGTGGTAGAGGAGGTTGGGGCAAGCTGGGCCCTGGTGCAGGACACTTTTCAGTGCAGCAGGGAGGGCTTAGACTTCATTGGGAAGGCAGTGCACTCATTGATGGAAAGGTCTGTATGCAGGAGGGCGATACCAGCTGAGCTTTGACACTGGCCCTCTGGAGGCAGTGGTGAAGACAGGTTGGAGTGTGGTTAAGTCTCTTGAGGCCACATGGCAATACTGAAAGGGTCCAATACTGGACCCTTTGTAGTGCTTTCTGAAGGCTGATCCATAGAGCACACCCACGCAGCTGCCCAGGTCACCTGCAGACCTGCTTTTGTAGGAGAGGAGCCCTGGACTCTGCCCACCTGAGTTTGAGACGCTCTGACTCAGGTGATTAAGCGTGGACAATGGGGATTTATGTTATTACTTGGGCTTGACGTTGCCCTTTCACTCGAGTGTAGTTGGGGCTCAGAAAGTTGTGGGGCAGGTCAGGAGGGCCACAAAAGAGTTCTCGGGAGCATGGCGCCTGCCCTCCCGTGCAGGTCGTGCCCTTTGTTTGTGGTGGGAAGAACACTTCTGCTGCACACTGCATCACAAGTTCACTGAAGAGAAGGAATAATTAACCAGTTACTGTTGCTCCTTCTCTTTTGAAAACCTGCAGAGCAGCCTTCCAAACGCCGAAGGATGGAGAACAGCATGCCCCTGGCTGGAGCAGCTCCAGCTATGGAAGAGGAAGCAGGGCTGACTAGGAAATGTGCAGCCGTGGATGTCGCTCCCCCTTCAAAGCAGAAAGAGAAGGCAGCCTCCCTGAAGCGGGACATGCCCAAGGTGGCCCATGACAGCAGTAAGGACAGCATCACTGTCTTTGTCAGCAACCTGCCTTACAGCATGGGGGAGCCCGAAGCGAAGCTCAGGCCAGTCTTCGAGGCCTGTGGGGAGGTGGTGGAGATCCGCCCCATCTTCAGCAACCGTGGTGACTTCCGAGGCTACTGCTATGTGCAATTCAAAGAGGAGAAGTCAGCCCTGCAGGCCCTGGAGCTGGACCGCAAGAACGTGGAAGGGAGGCCAATGTTTGTTTCCCCCTGTGTGGACAAAAGCAAAAACCCCGATTTTAAGGTACGCTTATGGGAAAAGCATGTCTTTGCCATAGGCCACTTTGTTCCTGCAGTGCTCATTGGTGCCACACACACTGCGTTCTCACATGGTAGGAAGCAGCCTTACTTGGGAACCTGGTCTGACTCATGGGGAGGTCGCTCCCAGCTCACACTGGGTTGACTAGGGATGAGAATAGAATGAGGCGTTGTGGTGCTGGCCACTCTCCACTGAGTGCTCAGGTGTCGTGACGAGACTGTGAAGCACGCCCTGTATTTCCAAAGTGGCTCCTCCGCAGAACTCTGTGAGTGGCTGCTTTTATTCTGCTCATTTCACAGTGAAGGGAGTGGAGGCCGGGAGGCTCGCTGGCGTCCCTGGGTAACTCTGTAATAAGGCTTTGAGGCCAAGGTCGACTCTGGGCTGCTGGGCAGGCACAGTCCTGTGGGGGCCAAGCACGAGTGCCGGGGCTCATTGGGGTTGCGGTCTCTGTTTCTGCCTTGTGCAGGTGTTCAGATACAGCACTGCCCTGGAGAGACACAAGCTGTTCATCTCAGGCCTGCCCTTCTCCTGCACTGAAGAGGAGCTACAAGACATCTGTAAGGCTCATGGCACCGTGAAGGACCTCAGGCTGGTCACCACCCGGGCTGGCAAACCAAAGGTGAGCATCAGCTCAGCGGTGCGGGGTCTGAGTGCGCTCTGTGGTTCTGCTGCTCTGGCTCCTGTGCTGCGCAAGGGTTTTCTAGTGCTAGGCTGCGCTCCCAGTTCACCTGCCAGAGACATGGTGATCTAATGGGAACGTAAGCTGATGGAGTTTGGGACCTCTCTTAGCCAATTGTACTAAGAAATCATAAGGCATTTGGAACATGAATTATCAGACTTCATAGGAGCCTCAATGGTGACACTTGCTGTGGGGCCGAGGCAGAAGGCTGTGAGGGGAACCTGGGCCAGCCTCCTCCTCCTCCCTGCCCCCTTTTTCCTCTCTGTGTCCTGTTAGGTCCTTGCTCTACCACATATTGAGTGGCGTTTTAAGTGTGATCTGGATCCCCTGTCAAGCCTTGCCCCCTATCCAGGCTGCAGGAGAGGTGAAGGGTATAAAGGAAAGGAGGGGCCACAGGGACAAAACATGGGATCCCTGGGCTGCTTTTCTGTGTCCAGTCCACCTTCTTGGGGTTTTGCTGGACTTACACAGGTCTGTTACTCTTGTGGTGCAAGCACAAGATGTTCTGAACCCAAAGGGAGAGGTTTCTAATGCCACAGGCAGTTAACAGCCACGGGAAGTAGAGGGGCCAGGGAATAAACCTGTACTTAGAGGATGGCAGTGGCAGGAAGATGACCTGGGTGTTAGCTCTGCAAAGTCTGCTACTGTCTGAAGGAAGCCTGGCTGCCTGATTCATGGGAGGAAGTCGCATCTGGGTCGGTGTCCTCTGACCTAGCACTGAATCTCTCTCGTATGATTCAGGGTCTGGCCTACGTGGAGTACGAAAATGAATCCCAGGCGTCGCAGGCTGTAATGAAGATGGATGGCATGACCATCAAAGAAAACGTCATCAAGGTGGCGATCAGCAATCCCCCTCAGAGGAAAGTCCCTGAGAAGTCTGAGGCGAGGAAAGCTCCAGGTGGCCCCATGATGCCGAGACAGATATACGGAGCGTAAGTGTTGCATGCAGATTTGTCCCCACCAACACAGAGCGATGGAGTCGTTTTGGTAGTGCAGTGAATTAGGATAGCAAAGCCGGTGATCTCTGTGGTTCCGCCAGAGCAAGTCCCCAAAGGGCACAAGTCTGTGGCAGTTTACACCTGTCATTTATTTATATTATTGTTCCTATTTCATATTTCTCATTTGCATGTTTTTTTGGTGTTGGGGATTGAACTCACATCCTCACTTTTGCCGGGCAAGTATTGTATCACTAGACCCATGTCCCCAGCTCTTACTTGTATCTTTTAACTTTGGGTAATAATCTTGGCTTATCTTCACAACTAAATCTGGGGCTGGATTCCTTGCTTGGAAAGAGTACATTGTGTTTGCTCTTGCAGGCGTGGGAAGGGGAGGACCCAGCTCTCCCTGCTGCCTCGAGCCCTCCAACGCCCGAGTGGTGCAGCTCCTCAGGCCGAGAATGGCCCTGCTCCACGTCCAGAAGTTGCCACCTCTGCAGCCACCGAGGCACCCAAGATGTCCAATGCCGATTTTGCCAAGTTGCTCCTGAGAAAGTGAATGGGACTCTGAGAGATGGGAAATGCCTTACTTCATGCTGGCCGGGTAGACCCCTGCCACCCAGCAGCACCCTGGGAGCTGAGGGCTGGGCGCAGTGCTGGTGCTCCTAGAAAGGGCAGGTGTTCCACGCACAGGGTGGAAGTGCTCCCTCACATTGAGGGCGGGAAGAGGTCGGCCCAGGTGATCGTTCCGAGATCCTTCTGTGTCCTGGAGTCCTAGAGTGACGAGCAGCAGTGACCCTGGAACGTGGCTTCTGAGACCCACTTGTCCCAACCTTTTGCCACCTCTGATCCTTTTTATAAGACACTTCTCTCACACTCCACACCCATGTGCCCTCGTTCTTTAAGTTTTAAAAGCAAATGGCAGATGCTAGTCACACACCAGAATGGCCTATTTTAGTAATGTGTGGGGAGGGGAAATCACACACACAAAAACCACTTGATGGTTTTTTGTCCAAGGGGCTGAGAGGTTTTTCTATTACATATTTGTAAATGACAGGTCAGCCTGTTTTCTGTTTCCTAAAAGCAAAGTATTTGCAACATTTGTTTTCTCTTGGAGTTCTGTACCACCTGCTGTGGACCTTTTTTTTTGCCTAGTGATTAGTGGATGTATTTTCTGTCTGAACATTGGGTTTCAGCCCTTTGGTTTTGTATAAGATGCCATGTCGAGTACAAACGTAAATTCTCCCCATTTAGCTTTGTTTATTAAACTGAAGTTCTCTTCAAAAAGCCTTGTGCAAAAGTATTGGGATGTTACTCACTCACAGATGTGTATTTTGAGATGGGTGTACCTTGCTTTATCCAATAGACGTGTAAATAGAACTTTTGTAAGTCAAATCCTGGTGTCACTTTGATTTAATTATTTCATCAGTGAGCCGTCTTCAGTTTTAAATTTGAGATTACAGCAGTTTGACCCTGGCTTTTAAGCTCTTTTACCTGTCATTTTTTTATCAGGTAGTTACTGCTTTGAAGGTAGCATTGGCAGTTCAGTAGGGAAACTTACTCTATAAAGGCACTTTGGAGAAAACCATCGGGAATACTTTTGTGTGTAATGGAAAGCAGCTCATTTGTAAGTGTAAGTTTTGGTGTATCAGGAAGGCTTCTCTGTATTTGGTTTTTGCAGTATTGGGTTGGAAACGAAGGCTTTTGCTCTACCACTGAGCTATACCTACAGCCTACATTTTTTTGTTGTTGTTGTTTTGTTTTTGTGGTACTTGGGTTTAAACTTAAGGCCTTGTTAGCAGTGGCTCTACCTCTTTTTTTTTTTTTAACTGTGATTTGAACTCAGGGCCTCATGCTTGCTTGGCAGGTGCTCTGCCACTCTCAGCTAATGCCCCAGACCTTTTTTCTTTTTGTTGTGAGTAGGGTCTCATGTTTTTACTCAGGTCTTGGGGATGACAGGCACATACCACCACACCCAGCTTTTTGGCTGGGCTGGCTTCAAACCATGAGCCTCCTCATCTCTGCCTCTTACAGCTGGTATTATAGGGCGAGCCACTGTGCCAGCTATGCTGTACCTTGGATTATGACCCTAGGCCTTTTGTTTTTAGTTTGTTTTTCAGATAAAGTCTCCTGATTTTTCAAGGGCCGGCCTTTGGACTGAGATCCTTCTACATCCTGAGAGCCAGGATTATAGGTAGGCAGCACCATACCCAGCCCAGCCTACATATTTTTTTTTGGTAGGACTGGGCTTTGAACTCAGGGCTTCACACTGGCAAAGCACGTATGCTACCACTTGAGCCACATCTCTTCCCATTTTTTGCTCTGGTTATTTTGGAGATGGGGTCTCGCAAACTGTTTGCCAAAAAGTCTGGCTCTGAACTGTGATCCTCCTGATCTCAGCCTCCCAAGTAGCCAGGATTACAGGTGTGAGCCACTGATGCCTGGTGTACATTTTTCTTTTTTTTAAACCGAACATTTTTTGTTTGTTTGCAGACAAAGTCTTACTATGTAGCCTAGGTTGGCCTCAAACTTCTAATCCTCCTGCCTCTTCTTCCTCGTACTGGGGCTAAGGTGACTGGCAACTTAACATTTTTTAATGGAAAAATTTGAACAGATTAAAGGTAGAACTATAAAATAAAGTTCTCCATCCCTGTCATTGAGTTTTCAGCATTCGAGTCAGCCTGTCTCACTTGGTTTCCACCAACCCCTCCGCTTTCTCCTCCTCAGTACATCGAGAAGTATCCCAGACATCAGCACGCTCATCCAGTAATACTACAGCATGTCTCTAAGAGATAGGGACGTAAGGGCCTTATTAACGCCCTTAGAGACACAGGTAGTAATACTTTCATGCCTCAGCTGACCGGCCACATTCCAGGTTTTCTACTGTCTGATGAATGTCAGTTTTCCCTCTCTCTAACTGGTCATTACGTGATAAGCTCTTTTTTTTTTTTTTCATTTTTCTTTATTATTCATATGTGCATACAAGGCTTGGTTCATTCTCCCCCCTGCCCCACCCCCTCCCTTACCACCCACTCCGCCCCCTCCCTCTCCCCCCCCTCAATACCCAGCAGAAACTATTTTGCCCTTATTTCTAATTTTGTTGTAGAGAGAGTATAAGCAATAATAGGAAGGAACAAGGGGTTTTGCTGGTTGAGATAAGGATAGCTATACAGGGCATTGACTCACATTGATTTCCTGTGCGTGGGTGTTACCTTCTAGGTTAATTCTTTTTGATCTAACCTTTTCTCTAGTACCTGTTCCCCTTTTCCTATTGGCCTCAGTTGCTTTAAGGTATCTGCTTTAGTTTCTCTGCGTTAAGGGCAACAAATGCTAGCTAGTTTTTTAGGTGTCTTACCTATCCTCACCCCTCCCTTGTGTGCTCTCGCTTTTATCATGTGCTCAAAGTCCAATCCCCTTGTTGTGTTTGCCCTTGATCTAATGTCCACATATGAGGGAGAACATATGATTTTTGGTTTTTTGAGCCAGGCTAACCTCACTCAGAATGATGTTCTCCAATTCCATCCATTTACCAGCGAATGATAACATTTCGTTCTTCTTCATGACGTGATAAGCCTCTTAAGTCCTTTAACATGTGGGGTCCCTTCCCATCTTTCTTTTTTTTTTTCCAGTACTGTGGTTTGAACTTTAGGCCTCGCAGTTGCTAGGTGAGTTCTTGACTGTTTAAGCCACGCCCCCCAACCCCTTTGCTATCGTTTTTCAGATAGACTTGCATCTTTGCCCTGGCTGGCCTGGACCTCGTCCTCCTATTTTTGACTTCCCTCATGGCTGGGATCAAGGTGTAGGCAACTTCCTGATTGAGACTGGGTCTCACTCACTTTTTGCCTGGGCTGGCCCAACTGCATCCTCCCGGTCTCGGTCTCCTGGGTATTCAGTATTAAAGGCACAAGCCTCCATATCTGGCAGTTTTTGTTTTTTTGTAGTACTGGGGTTTGAACTCAGGGCTTTCTGCTTGCTAGGCAGGGAATCTAACACCTGAGCCATGGCATCAGCCCCCATCTTTTTTGTCTACACAAAATAGACTCTAGATTAAACAGCAGCTGTGGGCAGTAGGAGCCTTGCTGTGGCACAGGTTCCTCCTAGGTCAGTTTCAGATGGCTTTGAACCCTGTTCTGCTGGCGAGCAGATGGACACTCAGAGGGAGCCTGCAGGTGGGCCTGACCTGTGAAGAGCTGTGAGCATTGAGTCCCACTGCGGGTTCATTTGGCTTTGCTTCTGGCTGCCTACAGGAATGTAGTGTTTGGCACTGGTGGCCGGTAACCTGGCCTGGGTCATGTTCTCTCTCGGCAGGGCTTATGAAAGAGGTGAGCTTTTCCAGACTAGAGCAGAACCATGTTAGGTGCAGGGTGTTCACTTGTAGAAATGGCTTTTCCAGGAACATACTTGTTTTCCCCAGAAAAATAAAAAATCCCTGGTAAAGACAAACACGAAAGACCATTTTAAATCTTAGTGAGAAATTGGTAACTCACCCCATTGACCTAGGTAGGCAGTGTGTGCAGCCAGTTCTGTCTGCTTGCCTTCTGACATGGCTATCTTAGATCTGTTCTTCCAGATCAAGATCAAGAGCTGGTTGACAGAATCCCCTCTTTTCCTTAGGATAAATGGAAACACCTCTCGAGTAAGACCGTGAAGTCCCAAACGTTTATGTAATAAAATACTTTATTAGAATCAGTAATTTGTTAAAGTAATATCCTTCGGACACAGGTAAAGTGCATGTTCTCTCACTGTAGGACAAAGCAGACACTCCTCTCAGACTTCCTTGGTATGTGTATAATACCAAGTCAGAAGAGTTCAGGTTTGAGACACACCTGTGGCAGCACACAAGTATGCAAACATTTTTATTCAGGTTTGAAGAACTATCACTTGGAGCCATTTCATGTATCTTGCTTTTCTTAACAGAAAACTGTTTCTGAAGTGCAATTTATACAACTGAGTTACCATTTATAACACTTGCTACAGCTGAGTAGGAATCTCCTGTCAGGAACTGAACCTTCAAATCAAAGATTTGACAACCCTTGTGTGTTTACCATCTACAACACTGACAAGTGCATCACAGTGTTAGACATTGCAGGCTCTGTCACGAGAAAGAAACCTAGTGATTTCCAGCCATTCTGACTAAAATAGCAGCAAATGGGCACTTACGCCATACGATTGAGAGAGAAGATTCTATTTCCGTAAGATGACAACTTGGAAACCCAGCCATATTACATATGGCATTGTATCATTTTACAAGTTGCTAGAAACTAAGGCCACTTGAGGCGATCCCTTCTGCCTACCCAAGGGGATTCTGGACAGTATACTGGCTTTACCGGGTGGTGGCTGGGGCGGTTAAGTGGATAAAAGTACATGAAAAAAGGGACAGGTCTTGGCTTTGGTCACAGGTTTTCCTTGGTTTTAATTCATTATCAGATATGTTTTATTTGGGGTTGATGTGACATCTTAAGATACTTTTTGTTTTTCTTTGCAGTCTTGGGAACGGGACCCAGGGTCTTGCACATGCTAGGCAAGTTACCTCAGAGCCCCAGCCTTCAGATCTGTCCTTTAACATTTACTCAAGAGTGAGGGTAAGGGCAGACCCACTTTGTAGCAAGATACAGTTGTCGGGTGACAGCCCAGAAATATCTGGTCCTGAGTTGCTACAAATGAAATGTAAGAGACCTTGAAGAAAGAAAACCAAACCTGCCACTGCCCCTTAATGAGAAAAATAGTCTCATTATGAAAAAATAGCCTCTGGCACTCAAGTCTACCAGTTAAGTATGGCTCAAAGGGTCTTCTGTAAATAAGCAAGGTATCCAATTAGAAATAATGGCATTCATTTCATAGGTCGTATCTCAAAGGCTGCTTGCTCTGCCAGCAACAGCCACCACAGTGATCTTGGCAGGGGGCAGAAACTTCAGAAAGTAGCTTTGACCATTTCTCAGAACCGGGGCAGCCCTCCGCAGGATGGCCACTTTTTAGTTAGACTAACAGGACCATTTCAGAGACTTGGAGTCCTCCTGTGGTACTGGGCTTTGTCCCACAGCTTTGCCTCTCTCCCCACCTTAGTGCAAATTCTGCCCAGAACCTGGGTTCTGATCACACTGGAGTGTCACTGCCTCTACAGTGTGTGGGGACTCAGGAGCGCCCACCAGCACAGACACAGGGACACCATACAACACTCAAAAGAAGAAAATAAATAACTTCACTAAATTATAAAATTATCTTAAGAGATAAGGCTTAATAATTTAGCTTTTTTCTTTTTTAACTAAAAAAATTTTTGGAGGTAAAGAACGTTTTAAAGGTCTCCTTTTTGGCTTTTGGACATAACCAGGTTTTCTAGAAAGCTGTTTCTTTGATCCCCTGTCCCTCTGGCTTTTCTTGTCACCAAGGAAGAACTGACAGGGTTAGGGCCTCACAGGAAGTGTCTCCTTGAACCCGGAGTGGTTGGGTTTGGCTTCTGGCAGTGCCACCGAGTACTCGGTGGTGGCCAAGAGCAGAGTGTCCAGGGTGGTCTCAGTGCACTTGGCGATGAAGCGGATGAAGGGCCTTACATCGCCCTCGTTGGCGACTTTCCAGCGCGTGGTAGTACTCGGATCTCTGCTCCCTTGCGGTGGTGATGGGGGGTAGCCAGCCTGCATCAGGATGAGGCTCATAAGCAGGCGGGAGGTTCCTTCCATTGCCGTCAATGAAGGGGTGGATGTAAACCAGTTTGTAATGAGCTAAGGCTGCAAAACTCAACTGGGTGCAGACTCATGGCGTCCTCTGAGTTAAGCCACTGGATGAACTCCTGCATCTGCTTCTCTACTTCC